GAAAAATTCATGCCCGCGGAAGATTTGCGTAAATTAATTTACGGCGTACCGAGCCGGTCTCTCTCTCTCCAGTCGGGGAAAAGGGGATAAAATTCAATTTTTCAGGTCGGCCTCGCGACCCGGTCGCAGGTCGAGAGGATGCTGATTGTTGCTTCCGCCGCGGCGGCGGCTTGACGAACGCTGAACGATGCACTTGACATATCATTTGAAATAAGAATTCCGACAAGCCGCAATGAATAACTCTTGGAACTACTGAGAAGTTATGTCGGCTGTGTATTAGAGAGAGGTATTCTCCCTTTTTATTAAATTCATTACGTCGGTTAAGACGTTAAGCAATTCGTTCTGTTATTTAAAAGTGACGCCGCCATTAAGCCACGTTTGTTATTATTCTTACTTGCATTTGCATCGGAGTGAGAGTTTACGTAGCTAGCGCTTTCTTTCTGGAATCCCCGCCGGAGACTGCTAAACAGAATTCGAGATAATGGGTGGGTTCCTCCACGACGTCGGCGAAAGGGATAGCCTGCTTGAAAGCTCCTATTTCGCCGACATGGAGACGCGCATTAAGTTCGCTCGTAATATTCCTATAACATTAAAGCAAATTTCAAGGCCCATGCGGGATTCAAGATGCCGTTTGCCTCCACTAATCCCCCCAGGGAAGTATAACGAATATCACTTTGTAAGGAATAATTAACGAGCGCGCTCTTGAGAGCTCGGATAAAATAATTGGCCGACACAGTTTGTAGTCGGCGAACGTAAATATATATTTCCGCGAGTCCTGTCACAATCGAGACGTTAACGGCGGGGATTTGTGCCGTAATTAACATCAATTTCCTTCGGTGATTTAGCGATCTAATGGGAAAAAGGTTCAATGCGCGCGCGACTCGGTGCGCGACCCGGGGTGAAATTCGAAAAATTACCACCGTTACGTGGTAGCCCGCCCCTTTTTCACCCTCGGGGCGGGGGAGAAAGAGGAATTTATGGTTTTTCGTAAGCAGTGTGGCGGCGGGAATTGGTATGGAAACTTTTTACGACGTACTTTTGACGAAGTTCGAGAAGTAACGAGGCGCGTTCGCGTTGCCGTACGTACGGTCGCTGCTATACCGTTCGCTATGCCGTTGCCGTTGCCGCTGCAGTTGCTCGGAAACTCTCTCGCGTGCGGTGCTTCTTTCGCCCAAAGATACAAAGAGAGAATCGCGTGCGAAATTTCATTTCCGACCGACGGTGGGACGCGGTCGCAAGTCGAACGCGATCAAAACCGCGGGCGCGATCGGCGACGAACGCGGTGTATTTTTCCGTCACGACGACGCGGATGGCGGCGCGGAGGCGGTGCGCGGGCGTTATCCACCGTCGCGAGGAAACTTTTTACATTATGTTAACTTGCGCGCGAAATGGACCCCCCGGACTAAGCAGCACGCGAGGGAGGGTGACTCCGAAGTTAGGAAACGTGCCGCGCGTGTGCCTGCCGCGATCGTACGACAATCCTCGGAGATCCTCTCTCTCTCTCCCACTCTCTCCTCTCCTGTCTCCTTATTTTCTCCGCGTAGTTAAATTATATCGATTACACTTGGAAGTTGCCGCGGAATATAATACGCACGCATACACACATACACACACACGTAGCGCCGCTGCGGGATCTTTCAGCTATTATTTTACTGCGCGCGGCCCGATTGCGCGATCGACGTCTAAACACCGACCTCTCGAGCGCGAATCGCGTAGCGACGACGCGGGATTAGTTATTAGCTCGTGAAAGTTTACGACGTTAATATTCTGAATTTCGCGTGCGACGAAATGGCGCGCGGTATTATGTGAATCGAGGAGAGCACGGGAGATGCATCCTCGCGATATTACGCTCGCGGATTTGGCTCGCGACCGAGACACCGCGCGCGCGCGCGGAGTCGAGGATTTCCGCCTTTGTTCGCGAATTTCTTTTGCGAGGTTTTTTTCTGCACGTCATACAGGAACTGTCATGTGCCAAAACCGCGCGCGATTACGGTTTTATTTTCTTGGGCAATCCACCGTGTCGATTTTACGAGCGTCCTGCGGCCCGCGAATGCCCCCGTCGTCGCGGGTACACAAACGACGGCGATTCTCCCCGTTGATACGGAGCGGAGCCGCGAACGCGCGTTATCGTTATCGCACGGTTTGCGCCCGTGCGTTTATGTCGTTTCCTTTCTTTTTTTTTTCGTTTCCGTCACCCTTTGCTTCCGCCCGTCGTGTCGCGCCGGCTATCGGAACGATCGGCGTCGTTAACAGTCGCAGATTACCTTCCCGCTGCGCCGCTCTCGCCGCGTTCATTTCGACCTGCATTTTCGTTAATCTTCTCCACACGCATGTTTTTTCTTTTCTTCACTCTACTCGCAGAAGCGCATTTCGCCAAGAGCTAATCGAGAGCTAACGGGATTCCCCAACGTTTCCTTACGGTTCGTAGATTGGCGATGAAACGTAATGACGTTGAGCGTAAGGGCGAGTGCACGTAGTCCGAGTTTTTAGAGGTATACAGGAAGCTTTGAGGAGCGACGTATGCTTTAAAATTCTGTTGAGATATCTCCCGACACGAAACGTTTCCCAGTCGACTCATTTCGTGAGTAACTTTGACGTTACGTTTGAAGAAATTTAGTTTTAAACTAGATCGATATCATACATACATACATGTATAAATATATATACACATTGGATATATTTTAGTTCTTATATACTTTGGTTCTTGGTCGGACAGCCATCCTTATTCATAATCTCGGGAGGGAAAAAAAATGGAGATATAATTTATTTTAGGTATATATCTACACGGAAAGAACGATTTTGTTGAAAGGACTAAAATTTTTGCTAAAAACAGATTGAAAATAATTTTTTACTGAATCATCAAAATAATTTGTTGGAATGTTAAAACTGATAAGCGCATTGCTATAAAACGTTTTGATATTCTAGCAATCACTTTGACTTTTGCACAAAATTATTTTGATTATTGAACAAAAATTATTTTCAGATCTGGATTTAGCAAAATTATTCTTTCTGTGTATATTTTGCAAGCGATAGCGAAAATTTTCGATCGATATATCGGATACTTAAAAATATATTAGGCAACTTGATTTGATATTTCATAACCGGTAGATTTAATATTAAATAAATAATCGTGTTATTTAATTCAAGTGTCCTTTTTCGAGCCATCAGAATGAGTTATGATGGCTTTATTGATTAATGAACTAAAATGGAAGTCTTTGGCACATTTTATAAGAGCGCTTTATTGATTATGAATGTCATTATCATAAAAAATCTCATTTATTCTGACGTAAACGTATATGAGAAATAATCTCAATCTCTCTCCCCTTCATGTTAATACGAAATGGCTAGGTTTATTTTTTTAGCCAATCACTGGTCATCAATCAGATAAAATTGTTATTCATTAAAACGCAAATGCACCTTTTGAAAAATATAAAAGAGTTAAATAAATAAAAAAGAGATAGATAGAAGCTCAGATAAACATTCTGCTGTTAAAAATAATCAATGTACAGCTTTGAGAGGACTAGAATATATTTCGCATATAAATTTTAAAAAGGAACGGAAGAAAAAAGAATGAATGGAATTCAACGGGAACGAGAGGGAATTTATCGCGCGAGGAATTTTCGAGGAGCGGAGGGAAATATTATTTCGCGACAAATTTGTTATCACGTTTGCAAAGGTGGACGAGCGGGACGTCGGGTAGTTACTCGTTCAAACGACGGTACAGCTCAAAGGGCGAGCTGTGATTTATGTCGATCGTAAGAGAAAGAGACCGGATGCGCTAAAGGAGCACGCTTGGCAAGGTTCGAACTTGCACTTTATGCACGTATGAATACGTACGCGTGATCTGAATACCGTTTCGCTGCGAGATCCGCGTAGCGAAAGCTTTCCGGGGGTGGGAAGGGGGGAGGAGGAGGCTTTCCAGAGATTGCGGAGGGAATCCCTTCGTGAATTACCTCGCGATGACCTACCGCATCGTGATGTCCGCCGCGGTTTCGCCACGTACGATCGACGATTCGCCCCTTCCGCGCGATACAGCGTGGATATGTGCAAGCGCACATATCCATACGCGGATATATATAGGTACGTGTCCGTAGTAGCTTACGAAATCACGCGCGAACTCCCGGTCTGCCGTCCGTTCGTGCATGGATTTTCATAGATGTTCCCGCGCGACCGGCCAGAGAGGCGAAATAGAGCAGCAATGCGTGCGTTGCGCGCGCTTATCGAAGGTACTGCCATTGGAGAAAAAAATTGAACTCGTTAGAAAGAAAATTGGATGCCTAGGTATTCAGAAATTCCGCGCGATGCAATATGGCCGGTAACCTAGTGGAGCTTATTCGCGCGCGCGCGCGCGCAAGCCAGGGCGTCGTATATTTTGCGTTGCAAATTACGATCCGGCGCGGCCGCGTGAAATTTTAAAAGTCGATCGGAAGCTATCCCGGCCACGGTGTCGGGTCGTGTACTCGCGCTTACATTAATCCCCTCAAGTATATTCCGAGCGTTTACCGCGGGAGAACCGTGACGCGCGAGATCACTCTCTCGTTTGTGTCGCGCGGTTAAAAAAAATATTGAAATTTTTCTTGAAGAAAGAGAGAGAGAGAGAGAGAGAGAGAGAGAGAGAGAACGCGTGCGCGGATCTTCGAAGGAAAATCGATGCGATCGACAGCGCATATCCTCGCGGCGTTCAGAATTCTTTTACACTCGGTCTTACGAGAGGGAGCGGGAGCGACGCGCTGTATAAAGTCGAAGAACGTCCGGTCATTCACGTGGATTTTATTCACCCTATGCTGGAATTGTCCTGACGCAGGTGAAACTCCTGACGGAGACCCGCGAGAAATCCGCCGCGGGACCCCCGTCCGTCCGCGTCACCCAATCCCGCTCTCTCCTCGAATTCTCATTCCTATACCGCAGCAGCGCGCGATCACGTTTGTTTTTATCGCGGACGATTCAACGTTTCGCCGACGTTACGACGAAGTGTAACGAAAGGGGATCTATGTCCGCAGATGCCATGAATTCGTTGGTGGACGACGTCGTCGTGGAGGCGGGGAAGAACGTCACGCTGGGCTGTCCGGGAGTGACGGAGGATTCGCTGGTGCTGATGCTCGAGTGGCGGGCGAACGGGATGCGGCTGCTCGAGTTTAAGAGCAGAAGCACGACTGTCGTGCGGCGAACAGAACAGAACAGAATGTCTCTGAATGTGAAAAATTATTCGCTGCAGCTGCATCCCGTCAACGCCGCCGACAGCGGTATGTACGAGTGTCTCGTGAACAACCGGAATGCGCCGGAAGCCGTGATCAAGCTCATCGTGCGAGGTAAGTGGCGGAATGTTCTTAATCGCGCTTTCCCTTCTTTCTCTTTTCTCGCTAGATATGTACTTTCCGTGGGAACATGCCCAGCCATAGTAATACAGAACGGCGCCGACGTTCATTAACTAGTCCTTTAATTCGATCCAAACTTATATTGCATCAAGGTTAATATATAAAGATCATTACGTTTTTCTTTCTATCTTCCAGTTATTTCATATATTTTTGACTATACAGGATATGTCTTAAATAACGCGCACTAATTACATAGCGTTATTCCTTATAAAAACCGAAAAAAATCCTGAAATTGTTCTTAAATAGCATTCACTAATATACTTTATATAAGCTTAAAAAAATTTTTTTTTTAAGATCGATTTTCTTTCATTACATTCTTTCAGATATGTTTCAAGAATAACTCTTCGCTATGAAGCAGTAATTACGCAATAGTGATCACATTAGTGAACATTGTAGAAAAAAATAGTTCAGATCTTTTCGACTGTCAGTTTTTTTACAAGAAATAATGCTACATAATAATGAGCGCTATTTAAGATTCTTTATGGTTCGATAAAGTTCGTCATATTTATAAAAGTATAAACTTGAACGTAATCGTCCGTATATTTATTAGGTTTGAAATTTAAAAAGAGGAAACTATAGATAAAGTTTTCGCTTTTAATAATCTAAAAGTGAAATTTAAACATAAGTGTTAAATTTTTAGTTCGAATGTCATCAATGAATTAAAAACTCGTTCTATAGCGTATTAAGCCGTTTGGTATTGCGCCAATAAGACGTTCATCTGGACGGCTACGTTGCGCTTTTAGTTTCATTACTCGTAGATCTATCTTCGTTAAATTCCGCTTATTACTTATAGACTTTGAGGATATCATTAATTAACTTACCTCATATAAATTCGCAATGAAATCGTTAGCTAACTCTGTCATTTTAAACACAAACGGTTTTAAATATTTCAATGCTACTTGTAAAATATTCAAACAAAATTAAATATCGGCTTTTTAATAAATAAGTAACATCATCTCATTTTTTGCAACTTCGGCGGCAATAACGTATAGTTATCGATATTTCATATTGTATCTGATCGAAGGAGATATAAAAGTTCAAATGCGATTCTTCTGTTCTTAGCTGTGAGTTAAAAAAGAGAGGGAACTTACTTGCCTCTCTTATATTGCCTTTAGCCGTTAGCTATATATATATATATATATATATATATATATATATATATATATGGAAAGAATTTTCCGATATACACGCGCGCGCAAGGATTTCTTGCAGCATGACAATTTTATTTTCTCAAGTCGCGAAATAAAAGATAAATATCATATCGATCGCCTACTATTATTTTGCATTAAAGTAGAGTATTACTTCTGCAATTCTTAAGGAATATTTCACGAAAATGGAAAAGCTTCAGTAGAAAATCTGGATAACAAGTAGCATCCATCACAGATATTGATGCGTAAATATTTATGTCAATATATATGTTTGCTTTCATAACGATGACCAAACATTTCGAGAATTGCTATATATAGATTCCACTGCCAAGGATAAATTTAAATTAAAGTCTTCCCTTGTGGATTGTAACGAGTTCTCTATAGAACGCGTATAATCCCGCTGATGGTTTTAAAATCTAGTTTATATTTAATTTGGGATATCTCGTCTAATCGAAGCGATCCGTCGCATTTCACGTAAACTTGGAGTTTATTATTATAAACAATTGAAACCCCCCGATCTTTTGTCGGATCGTTTTCGAGTTTGTTGGTATTTTCGAAGAACAATCGAAATATCCGGTGACCCATTCATCGCGGCTACCGATTTGCGTTCAATGAACTAGTTCATTGCTAAACTCGGCGAGTTTACGCAAAGTTTGCCGTGAACTTTGAAAGGCAGACCCCAGGTCCGGGCGGCAACGCCACCCTTCTTAACAACCCCGTCGTCGCCCCGTCGTGCTTCTAATGCTTTATTTTAAAACCGAGTCGCGCCTTCCCCTCCTTCCCTCCCCCCCGGCCACCCGCATCCCCTCCACACCCGTCCCGCGGAGTGTTTGCTTTAAGTATTTACGCCTGATTTGAATTCGTCACGTGCAACCTACCGCGTCAAAAGCAAACTTTTCTCTAGCATCCTATAGACGACGACGGGCTAGAATCATGGAAGTGGCGCGGTGGCGGCGGCATAACTTCGCGGCGGCATAAGTTTAGCCGTGCCGAACTTCACCGTAAAAAAGGAGAAACGCGCGGCGAAACGCGCGGTATGTCCTATCGCGTTATGTCACGGTGTGATTTGCATTCAATGCACGATCCGTTACTCAATTTGACTAAAAAGTTCGCCTGAGCCGCTAAAACAACGTGAAATTACCGCGCCAACCGCGGCGGGCGCGGGCGTTCTCGCGTGTAACTTGGCGGGAAAAGTTGAAGTTCGCGGCGCGATGCGACAATGCGGTTTCGCGGGAATCAATGTACCGTTCGCGAGCGGAGATTGCGTCGCGAATTTACATTTTTCACGTTGCGTGCTCGATATTAAGCGATAGTATTCATATCTTACACGGTTTACATATATATAATATATACATATATTGTATAATGATGTATATGCATATTCTACTGTACGTGCTTCCGCTCGAGACTCCGGGCACGTAACACTTCGGTGGTAACCAATATTCACGTTACGTCAACCATTAAAATGAACATTTTTCACATCTTTGCAATGGGAGCGTGCACGCACGCCCATCTCTCGCGAAATACATTCCGCTTGCGAGAGAGATCGATCCTCATATTTCCGTCATTTCTGATTCTCGTAAAATGCGCATTGCAAAATTTGTGAATTACGCGAGCGCGCGAAAACGGACGAATGGCCGAAAATAAATTTCGTATTACTTGCCGCCGTCGATCTAACTCGTTTCACAAGAGTTTTCATATTTTCGCCTCGTGAAATAATAAAACACGGGAAGGCTCTTGTATATGTGAGGGGCGCGAGGGTGTTTTAATACTTCACGATGAAAATGCAAAATTGTAGTCGTGAAAAAAAAAAAATGTTAAGAGATTTCAATTATTTTCAATTTGTAGGTAATTTGCAAGTTCCAGCTAAATTTCAAATATTAACTGTGTTTGCGGTCAAGACCGTTCACTGCATAGTTACCAAGTTACTCTCTCGTTAAGTCGGCAGGGCCGCCGATTTGTTTTGATGAACGAGCATCGGTGAGAGAGGTGTGCCCGGGTATACGTTGTGCCACTCTTCGAAACGATATCGCGAGCGGTACAAAGGGCCCAAAGGGAACGCCCGGGACGAGCTTCGAATTATCGTCTCTCGAAGCTTCCACCGCGGGGGTGGTAGCCAGAGTTGGTGTTGGTTGACTGCAGCTATGAATAAGCGCGAGTCGATTAACAGCGTGACGTTTTTTCGGCTCGCGGCAAAACAGTTTCATTCATATGCATGACGGGATACGCGGGATACGACGTGAAAGAGAGCGAGATGGCAAAGCGCGCGCGCGCGCGCGAGAGAGAGAGAGAGAGAGAAAGCGAGGAGGAAAAGAGAAAAAAGAGAGGAGCGAGCGGGAGGGGGAGGGGAAAACCTTCGCGGAATCTCGGTAGCGGCTAACGAGTCACGATTATTCCTTCTACTTCGCTTAACGAGCGGATGCAGATGTGAAAACCTTCGCGTACTCGTACCCGAGTTCGGCATTGATCATTCATTGTTTTTACGTTTGCGTCACGGCGAGGAGTTATTCTTGAAACGCGGCATATTCGAGGGAGGGGGCGCAATCGAAAGACGATTGATCTTAATAAAAAATAAAATAACTCGCCATTAATAAAATACAGACACGGTTACGAGACGCTTTCGTTTCGAAAGTTCACGTACGTGGCAATAAGATGATAAGACGGTATTCTTATGCATCACACGTGTAGGATGACGAGAGACGAATCGAGTCGAGGGAAGGGTAGTGGCCTGACTAGGTGATTCGAGAATCGAGTTCGAAATGGATAGAGGCGAAGAGGGAATGCGCTCTTGATGGAGCAAATAAAATTGTTCTCCCTCGGGATTACCGTGCTGCTGCATGCACTCGCATCTGTGTTGTCGTCGAGAGATCCGCGAGCTCTTTCTCCGAGACCTTTCTATCCGCGCCCTTTCCCGGTCTCCTTCCTTTCGCGTCTCCCGCGCGTCCGTTCTGCGCGTTTCCCCTTGGTTGATTTTTGGCGTAGAGACGAATCCTCGTCGACCTTGATCGCGGGTCCAAAAAGAGCTGCGAAAGCGTCGTCGTCGACAGTTATTCCTTCGGTGGCCACTAAGCCGCGGGCGTTGTTTTTCATTCGGTCGTCTCGTTTTAAAAGAGTTAAAAGGGGTTGAGGGGGAGACAGAACGACGGTGAGAGAACGGGCGAATGCTCGGCAAATGGCCTCGTTCGATTTTATTTGATGTCGGAACGACGAGATCTCTTCACTGCCAACAGCCAGTGTGTAGGACAGTCGATTCCATTAGAATGTGCATCCAATACTGTAAAACGTAGGTACTAATGTCCACGCGCGCCAGATGCACGCGCGACCGATCCTTTAACCACGTTAAGAAAATGCGTTTCGCGTCGTAATCGAGATCGATTTTTTATACAGAGATACACAGCGCGTCGTAGATAGATTCGACTCGAATTCGCAAATTCGCGAGAGAACTTACCGGAATCTCTTTGTCTCTCTCTCTCTCTCTCTTTTTTTTAAAAGATAATCTAGAAAGACCGACGCCACCCGACATTTATCTATCGTCACGTCAAAAATTTCGATTTGGAAAAATCCGCCTTGGAAATATTTTATTGCGCGATTCCGCGCCATCCCGGATTTTTTCCCCGCGTGCCATCGCGCGTTTCTCGTATTTCGCGAATTTACACGGTAGCCCAAAAATCCCTGCGATATGTACATAGTGAGTATCGCAGCTTTTTTTCGCGACGTAGCGGATATATCCCGGACTTTGCAGTTCGTAATACGATTTGTAATATGTACAGCAGATAGAGAGAGAAG